CCAAATTATTCAACTAAATAAAGCCTCACCTCTTCCCCCCACCCCCAAATGAAGAAGTAATGAGAATTGATAGACTTTTTTATTTTGGAGTTGAACAGTTTTCATTGATGCTTTGTAATCTTGTATCCTATGAAGTATCAATACTGTAATTAAGCTACTCAGGAAATTTAAGCCTTTCAATATGTGGTATGGGGAGAGAGTTTTCATGGGGAATGAATTTATTGAACTTGTCTGATAATGTAATTGATTCTTCTTTCTCATATCTTTGATCTAGCTGTAGCCAGTACCCTGATATTGTCATTGTTGAAGATGACAATGAAGATGAGTATGCACCTGTCATTCAGAGTGGAGAGCAAAGTGAACCAGCCAGAGAATCCCTAAGTTCAGGCAATGATGGCACCAGCCCTCTCATGTCTAGTGCCGTCCAGCTAAATGGCTCATCCAGTCTGACCACAGAGGATCCTGTGACCATGATGGATTCCATTTTGAATGATAACATCAATCTCTTGGGAAAGTGAGTGCTCATCTAGATATTGTCTAAAGTTATTTGCTTTCTGTGTTCACTTCACATATTCTATTACTCTTTGAGTGATCTTCCTTTGAGATGATACACCCATGTAGTCTATCTTTCTCTGTTTTGTTCAGGGTTGAGCTCTGTAATGAAAAGAATTTAATCATCCCAAGAGTAGTCTTTGGATTTTCCTGGCAGTACCTTACATTTCTTTAATGAAATACTTATTTTGAGTATACATAAGGTGTTTGTGATTTGGGGTGTTTGTCTTTATATTAGGACTATATAGAATAATATAATTTCTATTAAGGGACTTATTTTGTAACATAAAGAAAACTAATAAACAGTAATGAGTTTAAATATAGTATAGAGGGAAACCGTGAATTAGACTGTGTTGCAGAAACTTTTTTCTGCAAATACTAAAGTTTTGCGTAAAGACTATTGAGTTCTCAGTTAAGCACCTTTTCAGAAATCCCAAATCTTAAATTCTCTTGAGATTCAGAACTGGTAAGGATTCAGCAGTGGCCAGCAATATTTTACCTAACCAGGTTGTAATGGTGATTTTTAAATATAAAAACAAGGAAACCTAACATTTGATTTTTTTATATCTTTTTTTCTTAGGGTTGAGCTGTTGGATTATCTTGACAGTATTGATTGCAGTTTAGAGGACTTCCAAGCCATGCTGTCAGGAAGACAGTTTAGCATAGACCCAGATCTCCTTGTTGATGTAGGTACTTTGGATAATCTTTTCTGTACTGGTAATTTGTGTATTTATGTATATTATTTAAAGATGGACACATCTTTTTTTTTGTATTATACACTGTTGTTTTTGCATTTTCTTTTTTTAAAATGAATGGTTTTATTTATCAGAAAGAAGGAACAAACGGATTTGGGACTTTGAAGGAGGGTAATTACTACCTGCTCCTGAGTGGGGCAGTTCAGTTAATCCCCCTGTGACAGCATATCAAATCTGTTCAGCAGTACTATTAAATCCAGGCTTTGTCTAGACTTGTCACTGTGTTACGTTTTGCTTGGAATAAACTGTTACTGAATAGAAATCTGTGAAAATTAGTAATAGAGGTATTTAGCCAACAAATAGCATGGACACATTTATTAATACTTTGGGAATTAACATTTTCTACTCAAATATATTTTTAGTATATTTACTATGTTTTTATGTCTTGAGTCCTGAGGTTCCCTTGCTTCAGTCTCCACTACCATCTCTATGAACTTGACTCCAGTATTGTCTGGGCTGTGAATCCTTATCTACCATTTCTGGCACTAATTACCTTTCTCACTGTCTTCCCTTTTGTTCCTGCTATTCCTCCTTCCCTTACCTAAAGCTTCCTAGATGGCCTGGTCCTGCTCAGATGAATCTTTTTCTCTGTCCTTTGTCCATTTTCTGTTATGAACAGCTTTCTCTTTTTATCCAGAAAAGTTTTGTTACTCCTTTTTCTGTGTTTCTTGCCTTAAATTGCAGCTTCTCTCACATCAAAAGATTCTATAGTTTTACCCTTTTAAGAACCTCTCAATGAGGCTAAAGGAATTAGTCCTTTCTACTCTCAATCTTATTTCAAGTCCATTAATTTACCACTTTACTTCTGTACTTTTCATCAGTCTTTGTCAATGA